TCGTGGTTCAGCCTGCTCTGCGGCACAAACCAAACACACAGCAGCGAAACCCACCCAGACCCCTGCCTCGGAGCACTTCTGATCTACGCAAACAACATGCTGCTAGATCAGCGCCTCAAGGCTCAGATCTCCAGCCCCATCAGCGTGAGAGTCTCCAAATTATCATTAGCGCTCAAACACTTTTTTTCTTTTTGTAAAATGCCAGCCCTCAGGAACACAGGGGTTTCCCATTGCAAGTTTCTTACAAGGTGGATCATCTGGACATTGCTTTAAGTCAATTCATGATTTAACACGGTATTTAAATGATTTGGGATGCTAATATTGAAGTGTTTGCTCTCAGTTTTTATGGCAGCTGTCATGTTAAGAACAATGGAGCGTGTAATGGTATGAGGTTATTTTTTCTGAGGATTGCAGCAAAAGGCTGATCAAGTTCCAGTGGTTCTTAGAAGTTGTTCTGCCTGGGCAGGCAGCTAAGCCCCAGCACAGGGTGGACTGGAGCACTGCCCCTTGGAGTTCGTCTGTGGTGGCTGTATGGCGATGACGCAAAGTAATGTACAGCAATTCCAGGTGCATCCTATACGTGTCACACGTGCAGTCAATTTGTAGATCTGTGGCATACTAGAGTATTGCGTCCAGTTCTGGGCTCCCCACTTCAAGAAAGATGAGGAGCTACTGGAGAGAGTCCAGAGGAGGGCTACGAGGATGATGAGGGGACTGGAGCATCTCTCCTACAAGGAAAGGCTGAGGGAGCTGGGCTTGTTCAGCCTGGAGAAGAGAAGGCTGCAAGGGGACCGTAGAAATGTTTATAAATATCTGCAGGGTGGGTGTCAGGACGGGGCCAGACTCTTTTCAGTGGTGCCCAGCGACAGGACAAGGGGCAACGGGCACAAACTGAAGCAGAGGAAGTTCCGTCTGATCACAAGGAAGAACTTCTTCCATCTGAGGGTCACGGAGCACTGGAACAGGCTGCCTAGAGGGCTTGTGGAGTCTCCTTCTCTGGAGATATTCAAGACCTGCCTGGACGCGGTGCTGTGCAGCCTGCTGTGGGTGACCCTGCTTCGGCAGGTGGTTGGACTGGGTGACCCACAGAGGTCCCTTCCAACCCCGAACATTCTGTGATTCTGTGATTCTGTACATAGCTCCGTTACTTCCGAATCCTATTAAAACAACTGAATATTTTAATGCACCTGCTTGCCTGCAGTAATTATTGACAAGGATAATGGTTTGGAGCCAGTAAAATGACAAGACTATTTGAGTCAGGAAGGACCAGAAACAAGATAGTGGAAGTCAGAGTGTAGCCTCCTTACTCATCTCCACTGGTAACCACAACTTCTCACCCCAGTGCAAAACGCTGTTTAAATTATTCTGTGTACCTATGCAGAATTTTCTTTCCAGTGCTCTATCCCCATTCCTACC